GGGTACAATTGAGTTTCATTTTATGTAATTTATATATATATATATATATATATATATATATATATATATATATATATATATATATATATATATGTAAATTGATAGATAGATAGAGAGAGAGATAATTGCTATATTAGGTACTACACAATCTTCAATGTTTTTTCATATACTTTTCTATTCTTTGATGAAGATTATTATATTACGTGTTTTGCCTATGCAAGAATTTCTGTTCCAAATGCCATATGCAAATTCTTCATTTTTCAACATTTTACGAATAAACATTATGCATAAATCTCTTTCTCTAACCAATTCAGGAAATTGAACTTCGTTTCTCTGACGTTCATCTTGTCTTTACTCTCTTCGGCTACCACCCGACAGTTTTGATTTTAAATTTTTTTTTTATTCTGGATTTAATCGATATTCAAAATGGCGGATTTTCCCACGATAAAGTCATGACCGCGGGAAATATTCGGATACCTTCCACAAAGCAAATGCCGATATGTTATACGTGTTTATTTTCTTTTGTAATGTTTTTTTTTTTCATTTTATTTTAAAATTAAATTTTTATTTTTATTTATTTCCATTCATTCAACGTCTTTCATTGAATCCTTATTTTCTTTTGTTCATGAATTCATTTCATTTTCTTTCTTTATTTAAACTGCATCGGTTTTACTGTTATCTCCTGTAAAAGCGTTTCATTCTTAACGTTTCTTAAAGATGTCGGTCTGGCTACTATGGTAACATAAACGTGCTAAAAATCATAGTCCTTACAATGCTAGGCAATTAGATTAAATATGAGATAATGATTTCCTTTTTAGCATATTTTGGCAACTGTGATGGATTCTACATTTATATTGAATTGTAACGAGTAGAAGTTTCCACTATTGAAACAAGTTGTATGTTTTCATTATTATTAATGTCGAAGTGAGTGTGACGTAATCGTTATCAGCGAATAAAATGGTTTCCGTGAATGGTGTTCGAAGTCTAGCCGCAGTTTACTAATTTTCTTCTGTAAAATATGAATTCTTATTTTTTTTTTGTTTTTTTTTCCAGCAATAAGGAAAATTATAGGTAGACTTATTTTTTTAAAACTTTGATTGGGAAAAAAAAATTAGGCTCTGTCGGTCTGTTATCGAACTACTCCAAAGGTTTTGGAGATATACTCCCCATAACTCTATATATTCTGAAACTACATTACCCAGGGTACTTGGTACACAAGGCCCCCGTTGTTCTTTTCACTTTGATTTAAATTAAATTTAAATTTGAACAAAGGAATAACCCCCAGGAGATTGGTATATAGAGAATAAAATTTGATCAAAGAATGTCCCCGGGAGTGGGTAGGTCACATCGCCCATTGAAAATTTGATTTTCCCTTTGATTTAAATTAAATCTAAATTTGAACAAAGGAATGACTCTTATCCAAAATATAGAAGGGGAAAGCCAGATGATTCGTTATTTCTTGCTCAACTTGACGTCCAAATTATCTCATTTGATCTTGCCGATTTGACCTCCATCTTCTGGCTTTTAGTACATATTTGGTACGACATTTCAACTGTCATATCCTTGTTGAAATCTGCTCAATTCATTCAATCAAGTATTTTATCAAATACATATCAAAGTTGTCAGTTAAAGATGTTTTTGCATAAAACCCCACAGACTTTTTTTTTCTTTTGGTTTAAATTAAATTTAATTTTTGAACAAGGGAAATGTCTCCGATCCAAAATACTGAAGAAAAAAGACAAAAGATGAAGACCACATCGACAAGATCATTTTGATGAAAGTGGCGCCAGTGGGATATAAACCTTTCACAGATATTTTTTTCCTTTTGATTTAATTTAAATCTAAATTTTAACAAGGGAATGACTCCTATACAAAATATAGGAGACAGTCAGAAGATGGAGGTCACATCAACAAGATCATTGGATAACACTGAAATGCATTATTTTCTCCACAAATTTTAACTTTTCTGTCTTTCTTAAAAATCCCATATAAATCTATGAATGTTATTTCTAAATTCATTTCTATTCCAGGTTCGTTAACTCTTTCTACCGGAAGTGATGAAGAATATTCGTCTGAGTCAAGCAGCAGTGAGGATGATTTTAGCAAAGATCAAGATCCAGATCAAAATTCACAGAACGAAATACACAGTGATTGCGTCGATAACATGGAAATGTCCCCTTTTCCTCGTCCAGAAACACCACTTCCACCGCAGCCACCGACACCTCCCACAACACCAATATTCCCATCAGACTCTCCAATATCCCCACAATTTCCGGGATTTGTCTCGCCTCCATCTTACACAGTTTACTCTTCTTCGTCATCATCGTCTTTTTCTTCATCGTCCATTATCACTTGTCCAACGACGTCAACGAGTTCGTGGCTGTCATCCGATTTCTGTTCCGTTTCACTGAGTCAAAATTTGATCTCGTCACCAACTTCGGTTCTGACTTCTCCCGAAGAAAAGTCATTTGCTCTGAGCGTTTCGCCCTCGTTTAGATAACCGGTCCGTTGAGGGCGCTGTGAATGAAGACGCTGTCTCCGTAGCTGATCCCGCCAAAGTAACCGACAAGAAACATGAGCGTGAAAGAGCTCCGATTAAGATCTTTACCGCTTTTCGAGAGAGATTTTTAAATAAACCATTTGTGCGGTCAGGTGCCAAACTTGAAAGAGAGGATACATCAGAAGAGGATATTAGTATCTGAATTAAATGAAAAGAATAAAGCAGACATCGAGAAGATTCATGAAGAAAAAAGCAAAAAGACAAAGAAATGGTAAGAAAGGAATGAAAAGCCAACTAAAAAGAATTGGAATCAATAAAAAGAAAAGAAAATTTAGAGAAGAAAATCAACAAAGAAACAAAGAATTACGGAAGACTTTCAGAATAACAGAGTTTACTAAGTTACAACAACAATAACAGAGAAAATTACAACAAAATTACTACTACTACTATTTTAACTACTACTATTATCATTAGTATTACTACTACTAATATTTTAACTACTACTATTATCATTATTACTTCCGACTTCTCCCGAAGAAAAGTCATTTGCTCTGAGCGCTTCGCCCTCGTTAGAAAGCCGGTCCGTTGAGGGCGCTGTGAAGGAAAAAGCTGAACCCGCCAAAATAACCGACAAAAAACTTGATCTCGTCACCCACTGGTAGGACTTCTATGAAAACATGTTCAAGTTTTTTATTAGTGTTTTCTAATCTCTCCTTCATTATTCTATTTCTCATAACCGTGACGAGAAATTATTATCTCACATCTCATTGATCATTTAACATGTTAAATATATTCATTTATCTTAAGGGCTCTCGAGCCATGTACTAGTTGAATTTGGCTATTCGAAATTGTGAGCCATATATACTAGTACGTTATCATCTAGATAATATACATACAGAGATATGCAATATAAAAATGGCCGGCCATTCGTATCTGATGATAAACTTCTCTAGGGCGGCTAGCCAATCCCTGTTGCAGACGCCTGCTGAGGAACATTTCGATATGTTCAGCAGCCATTGAACCAAACTATGATTTATACTGCAACAATGCTAAGCGGACTTTAATTACAGTTTCTGAGAGAGATCATGAATCTAGCGTAATTAGCGGTCTGAACAAGTCCAGCACGCTCAACCCTCTGTCACGATGACTTGTGACTTCATGCTAGCACAACAAAGCTCACCAAAGAGATCCATCTACACAATTTCACTCACAAAGCTTAGATCAACCCATGGTATTGTCTACATTCAATTTCCAAAGATATACAAAAAAAAACAGAATAAAATACTCCTTGATTATTGCGAAAAATACAGCCGAAAGTGTTCAGATATGTAAAACATTTGATCAGTTTTTAAACATTTTCTGTCCAGAAAAAAAATTAAATAAATAGGTTATTCCGAGTAACTCGGAGGTCGCCTTTAACGAAACATATGAATGAGAGATTACTGTCCAAATACACAATATATATATATATATATATATATATATATATATATATATATATATATATATATATATATATATATTCAGTGAAGTTAAAATAAAATATGTGTGCATATGATCCAAGAGGGTCCTAGTAATATACGGATATTAAAATTGATCGACAAAAGAGAGCTCGGTATATCTTATTTATACAGACCAATAGATAAACTATCAAGAGAAATCTTCTTACCCCATGTAGGGAATAGACTATTTCCTCAGACGATAAATGTGATTGTCAGTCTTATCAAACCAGAGAAGACAGACGATCCTTTTTATCGTCTTCCATATATACATACACGTATATATATATATATATATATATATATATATGTATATATATATATATATATACACGTATATATATATATATATATATATATATATATATATATATATATATATATATATATATATATATATACACACGTATATATATATATATATATATATATATATATACACGTATATATATATATATATATATATATATATATATATATATATACACGTATATATATATATATATATACATATATATATATATACATATATATATATATATATATATATATATATATATATATATATATATATATATATATATATATATATATATATATATATATATATATATATATATATATATATATATATATATATATATATATATATATATATATATATATATATATATATATATATATATATATATATATATATATATATATATATATATATATATATATATATATATATATATATATATATATATATATATATATATATATATGTATATATATATATATATATATATATATATATATATATATATATATGAAATGGACAAGTTTTTATTTAAGACATTTTATGTTTATACATTCTTTTTAATAATGCATTTCCTTAAATATTTGTATCTATAAAATGAAAGTATAAAGATAAAAGGTCTTAATATATATATATATATATATATATATATATATATATATATATATATATATATATATATATATAATTGGTAGATTGATTCCTACGAAATCATTAATCCAAAAAGTGCTCAATGTAAGTAACAGAGCAATATATTAATAATAATTAAAGGCAATCCATAAAAATCAATATATATATATATATATATATATATATATATATATATATATATATATATATATTAGGAGCCATCCTTCCTGGACGATCCGCTTAGGTGAAAACTTGGTAGGTTTGTCTGGCTCTCTAGGTTTAACTAGGTCTGCTCTACTCATAGTATTGAGCATTTTATTTAGTTGTTTTGCCGACTCGCATCGGGTTTTTTGGGGGTAGTGGTGGTGGTGAGTGGGGGACTTGCATGCTAGACGATTATTTTCGACTAACGTGTATGTTCTTGGTTCTTTCTTTTTTATACCTTTTTTTACCTTTCGTATTGGTTTCATTATTTGCAAATGAAGACACCGAAGAGCAATATATTAATAATAACTAAATGCAATCCATAAAAATCCAATATATATATATATATATATATATATATATATATACAAATGTAAAGAAAGAAGAGTAAAATTTCAGCCTTGAAAAATTAATTTTAAACAGGACTCAATACAAAATAGAGCAATAAATATTTATTTATTATACGCTGTTACCTTAGAACATATACATACCCACTACAAATTTTAATATTTAATTTTACAGTACTTTTTAACTGGTACCCTCGTGATTTCACATCCGAAGAAGCATTAATTTTTTAAGGTTGAAACAAGATATACAGTTTTGTAGTCGGTATGTACATTTTCTAATGTAACAATGCATAATATATATATATATATATATATATATATATATGAATATATATACATATATATATATATATATATATATATATATATATATATGTACGTTTATGCAGTGGTATATTGGACCGCAAACGGATATTGACACAGATAGACAGATCTGAATATCAGATAGATAGATAGATACATAGATAGATATGAATAGACTAAAATAGATATAAACAGACTACGATAGATAGATAGATAGATAGATAGATAGATAGATACAGTCTGAGATACATAGATAGATAGAGATAAACAGACTTCGATAGATAGATAGATAGATATGAATAGACTAAAATAGATAGATAGATAGATAGATAGATAGATAGATAGAGACAGGCTGAGATAGATAGATAGAATCACGTTGATATATATATATATATATATATATATATATATATATATATATAGAGAGAGAGAGAGAGAGAGAGAGAGATAGATAGATAGATAGATAGATAGATAGAAATGGATCCAACAGCTTTAAGTGCATATAGCACAGTTAATCATTAATTAGATTGGATGTTTACACAAATGCAGGAAATAGATAAGTTGAAAGTTCAGATGCATTTTCAAATATCTTGAAATATTCTCCTAATAAATAAAAACAAATATAAATAGTTTCTTTATTTATTAACACAATATTTGAGAAAGTGAAAGAGAATGAGTGATTTAAAGAGGATACCATGGTTCTGTGTCTATCAATATTTGGTCGCTGGGAGAATACAAAACGGATTGTTGGAGAAATGTACGTGGAGATAACCATATTATGGTATAAACAGATCATGGTAGTTGTATAGTAATGATATTTACTTAAGTGGTTGCAATAACGCCACATGATGTAGCTTCCCGAGAATCCCTGCCAAATTTTCACTTATCGCCGTCGGGTCAACACGCACACGCCAAATCATGTCACTCAGCATAGATGTTATACAAACTAAACACCTATACAAACGGCCCATGTACACAAACACGCACAAACGCTCAAACACACACATATATATATATATATAAAATGAAATGCACTAAGTCCGACAATTATTTTAAGACATTTTTTATGTTTATACATACTTTTTATAGATTCAAATATTTAAGTAAATGATCTGTTTATAATAAACAATATTAAACATCATTTACCGGCCTGAATGTCTGAGAAATCTTCATAGAAAATATTCGTCCTCCAACAGGATTCGAACCTGTATCCTATACGGAACCGTCATATAGCCTGACATGTCAGGCTATATTTCTCGGACATTCAGGCCGGTAAATGTTGTTTAATACTGTTTATTATAAACATAGCATTTACTTAAATATATGTATCTATAAAAAGAATGTATAAACATAAAAATGCCTTAATAAAACTTTTACTGCTAATAATACATCTTTAATTATTTAGTCAAACAAACAGATTTTTAAAAGTAATTCATAAAAATACCCCACGATAAAAAAAAACAATATTTAATAACGCAAAATTTTACAATATATTTATTAAAATGATTAGTATTTCCTAACAGTTTTTGCTAATTACAGCATGTAGGCGTTTTGAGGAGTACCCTATTAATTTCTTGCATGTTTCTTGGTTAATATTTTTCCATTCTTCACGACAAAATTCCTTTAGTTCTTAAAGGTTTTGAGGGTTCCTTCTTTGAATTTTCAGTTACAGCTCTCTCCATAAATTTTCAATCGGATTGAATTCTGGAGATT